GGCCCCGCTGAGGGAGCGCTGTGCGCCGAGATCCGCAGGGGACGGCACACAGGGGGCACGAGGTGCCTGGCAGGAGAGAGGAGGAAACGGAAAATGTCCTGCTTACTGTAGGGATATCTGCAGAAGTATCAGAGTGTCCCCGAGGTGCACAGGACCTTCTAAGAGAAGTTACTTGTCTTGCGTATTGTTTTATGCTGGAGATGCTGCAAGGAGGCAGCTGAAGATTGGCTCTCTAGAGCTTGTTCCGCGCTCCCTCTCAGAACTGAGCGTAGCCTAGTCAGTTTCCGGATAAATACCAAAACAAGCCCAGGCAGTAAGTTTCTCATGCTTACCCATTCAGTGGCATTGCCTGTAGCTTTTAATGGTTCTTGTCATAATAAACTAGCATAGAGTTCAGGGAAAGGGTATTCTGCGACAATTTCGTATAGAGTGGAGCATAGTTAAGCACATACATTACAAGTTTTTCCTTACCAGAAAAATGACATCAGGAGAAGTATTATAAAAATCTACTATTAAGTCAAGGTTTCTTCAGTCTTGATTATCCTCTCATTAGTACCAGTACCTATTTTAGTATGATGACTTAACCTTAACAGGAGTTGGCACCCCTTCAAAAATACCTTCATCGTATGTAAAGAAGTAAAACAGGTGATGAGGTTTCACTGAATCACTGGAAATTCAGTATTAGCTGTTAATTTAATTTCTTTATTTTACTCTGATGTTTCTAAAACATACATAAGATCATTTACACGAAAGTTTCCAAATCTTTTTAACTAAATGTAATAATAAATGCATAGAGAAATTCCCGACAGATCCAGAAAGGTTCTCGCTGCTGTCATGTACAGGGATTGAAACAAGTTTATAGATAATTTCTATATCTTTGAGAAGATAGATGTCTACAAAGAAAGTAAAACTCACTGAAAATCTCATAAAACACCAGCTATTCTTTGCATTGAGGCCAAAGCCAAAAATTTCTTATCTTCCTTTTTTTCAGCAGAATAAACCAATTTAACTTTCTATTTAAAATAAAATTTTTCCTATATGTTGTTTGTTCTCTTGCCTCTGTTACTCTCACAGTGACAGTACTGAAAGTACTGGCTAAATACGTGTCTT